GGACAATAAATATTTTCAATCAAAGATATTTACAAAATAAGAACTAATATAATTTCCAAATAGTCATTATATTTATTTGCTTTTATTTGACTTGGGTCATGAAAATAAAAAAAAAATATGGAATAATGAAATATTAAACCCAAAGTTTTTATGTACCAACTTCTTATGTAAAATATTATACCAGATATGTATATGATCATTTCCATTTTAGAGTATTTATTAATATCATTTAATTTCAATGTCTTTGATTATCCATCAATTTATTTTTTTATCATTTATCTAATGGAGATTGCAAATTAATCTGGATAACGTGTACGTTTGAAAACTGAAATATATTTGCGATTGAAAATTGAACTCTATTTAGATGCAATTTTCGTCTAACTTACTAACACTGCAAAGTTCAAAAATAATTTTAGACGGATTTGCGTCCAATTTAATATGGAGTATAGTTTTTTTTATAAATTTTCATCAAATTGATAAAAAAACTGAAATTTGCATACTTGAGATGATCTTCTAGAACTATGACTCGGGGTTGTTACAAACAAAATTCCTTTATTGATTGTTTATAAACATCTGTGAATTGGCGGTCTCTTTCTCATCCAGGAAGCAAAGAAAATGAATAATTGGTGGCGTTGATTTGCTGCACTCACAAACAACTGTAAACAATAATGAGAGCACCAGACTGAGTTATTAACTTTTGATGCAATGCCCAAACGATATAGAGAACACAAAAGATCAGCCCAAACAAATGATCCAATAATGAATAAGCAAAAATTTATAGTAATATGCAAAAAATAGTCAATTTTAAGGCCCTAAGTGAAAAGGAAAACAAACGAATCATTATTTAACCGGCTCTAACTAGCAGGATTTGCGTTAATTGTAAGAAAGAGACACGTGGTTATTACAGAAGCGACAGTTATATATCGAACCGATCTCATGCACCAGTTCAATTAAATAAAACATAGACAAATTCTGTCTAAACCAGATGTAAAGGATGATATATATTCTGTACATAGAGAAAAATTAAATAATAAATGGAATAGGTTCCAATATAATTATATAGCTCATTACGCCTATAATTAATAACACTGGTATCTATCACTTGCGCAATTACCTACATGGGTACATATCAATTGAGTCTTTCATCCTCAATGGTAAAAAGAAAAACAAAAATCAATTTGACCCACTCTTTGAAAATTAAGTAGAATACAAATTTTTTTTTTTTTTTTTTTTCACAATACTAAATCGCTCACAATACAAATTGAAAATTAAAGATTGTCTGCACACTGGAAAATTTATAAATAATAACGGTATAGGGTGGGTACAATTACATGTACCCAACCAGTTTTTTTTTTTTTTTTTTTTTACATATAATCGCTCACAATAACAAAATTGAAAATTAAAGATTTCTGCACACTGAAAATTAATAAATAATAACTATAGGGTACAATTAATGTACAACCAGAAATGTTTTGTCGTGTGTTGGACATGGAACATGTGTTTTGAGCACTTATTGGATTGTCTTTTTACGTAAATTCAAGACGGGATAAATATTCTAGTGTCCCATACAAAAGGCTAACGTATAAAATTAAATCTGAATTTTACATGTTTAGTCGGTAATGCCTGTGAAAGCAAAATAATGTTATAATCAGTGGTGGACCCGGTCCAAAGATTTAGGGGGCCAAAATATAATTTTAATGTAATAATGGAGTCAATTTTTTTTTTTTCAATTTTTTTTTGGACTTAATATTAATTTTTCAACTGATTCCGCCCCTGGGTATAATCAATATGTTTTTTCTATAATTAATATTTTAAAGGTACATACAAACAATTTTATAATTGATACGTAACGATCTATCTATATATCTTTCTATATCTATATAATTATATTCTATAAATCTATATAATTATATAAAGGAACATTGACTTTGCACTCCCTACATTTTATATTCTTTTTGTTTAAATTTTTTTTGAAATTTTCGCTTTATTTTGTATAATAAAATAAATATTTGAGTTGTTTGAATTAATCATATTTATTTCTAAAGAGTTGTATTGTATATTATAATTTTATTAGAAAAATTAAATAAATAAATTTAATCATATTTTTTCAAAATCTTGCAAGATCATTTTGGTCAATGCATTGCGTAAAGTCATTGCAACTCTCATCAGTTATCCTATAATTTGATTGTCTTCTTTTAATTAAAGCTCTACACTCGAGCAATCATGCATGATTTATCATATTTTGATTTAGTGTTATTGTTTGTAAAGTTTTATTGAATGAAACTCAGATGGAATAGTTTAGTGACAAAGAGCATTTACAGGTTTAATCATCAAAATTTAAGTTATGAATTCGATCCTCTTCAACATAAATTTCTTCCAAACTAGCTTATACAGTAAGGATAATTGTATTAAGATAAGGATTACAAATCCTATGTTATATGTTAGTTAAAATTTATTTAGGAGTCTAGTTTTATTATTGTAATATATTTTAGTATTATATGTTAACACAATCCTTTTGCCTCTGAGGGCGAGCGGACATTAGTCAGGTTTGTCGACCATTAAAACAGACACAGGTCTGAGTAACTTGTGCAAGTATAAAAATAAAGTATATTTCGATGTCCCTCTTTTGCCTTTAAAGACAAGCGATGATTAATCAGACTTGTAAACAATTAAAACAGACACGAACATGGATGATGCTTTGTGTAAATATATATATAAAAAAAGCATGATTTATCATGAACCTTAAAAGCCAAAAGATGCGTGAGTTGGGGGTTCCATGGCCAATCATTTTCGGCATTTCATGCTGGAAAATTTGGAATAGGAGGAATGTATGGCTTTTTCAGCAACAACATATTCGCCTGAACACTTTAGTGAAAGAGATCATTTTCTTTGCTAAAGAAAACTATAATGCAGCTGATCTGTTACATGGAGGGATGATAAGTACTCAAGTAAAAGTTTGAAATAGATTTCAGGGTCACCCCCTATTGATCCCTTCTTCAAATTGAACACAGATGGTTCATTGGGAAAGCAAATGGCGTATGGAAGGAGCCGTATTAGGGACAGCTCAAGACAATGGATTAACGGCTTCGTAATTTCCATTGGGATATACTCTGTACCCAATGCAGAGTTATGGGCTATCCTCGAAGGACTTAAGATCGCCAAACTAATGGGAATCTCCCATATCAAGGTGGAATGTGATAGTGAAGCAGTAGTTCAAGTTATACAAGGCAAGATGGCTTCAAGTGGAGGTGTCCAACAGCTTTTTCTGGCTATAAATAATATTATCAGAGATAATTGAAATTGTATTATTAGTCATGTCTATAGGAAGGCTAATTATAGTGTTGACTACCTTTCTAAGTATGTTAGGAATTTTATCATAGGAGCTCATTTCTTATCTCAATCTCCGTCAAATTTGATATGGTGGCTAAACCATGATTTATATGATATTACGCACCCTAGACTTTGTTTGTAATCCTTAGAACCTAACTCTCCTTTTGATCAATTCAATGGGGAGTATGCTATCATTCTTTGTCGTATGAATCATTATCTTTTCATTCTAATAATATGTGATGATCATATATATATATATATATATATAACTTTCAAAATCCAACATTAGCCACTTTTAAGAATTGAAGAATTAAAGATGGAAGGGTCCATGGACAAACAACCAAATGTTAATCTAAAAATGGACTCTTGACCTATAAGTGAATCTCTTTTTTTTTTTTAAGTATATCTTTTACAATTGTTTGATGTTTTCAATTGATACATGGCAATTATTTCATTGTTTGCTTTTGATTCTGATTGGTAATATGATTTCATATTAGTTTATATTTATTTACTCAATATAAGATTTTATTTATTTTTTAATAGATAAAAAATACTGAAGAAGTTTTTGAGAATCTCTATTTGTTTAAATACATCATTATAACCGATTTAATTGTATTAGATTTTTATTTTTTTACTCACTACACTTTTGGCGTTGAAGTGCATTAATTTCAGAGGAATTAGATCTAACTATTTTAGCGAACGCCTCTCATGTGAATCATTTTGATACTTTAAAAATTAAACGTTAAAGAATTTATTATATTTATCGACAATTTCTAAACAAACTTGTCTCGGTCAACGCTAATCCATTGAGTACGGATGTCAATTTTCATTTTTGTTTATTTTTTGATTGCTTCTTTTAGTTTCTTTTTGATTGAATTGTAATATTGGATTTGTTGTTTTCATTAGTTTTTCATAGTTTAGTGAAAATTTTCATAAAATTTATTTATTTATGTGCATATATTTATAATAAATTTTTGAGAGGGATCTTTTATGTTCAATGGATTTTCAGAAAAGGAGGCCGTAATTCGTAAAAGCAATGAGTAAATCAAATTTGCTACAAAATATATAATATTTCACTATAGATGGGTTTGTTGATATTCAAGCTAAGTGTTCTAATGTTTGATTTTTTTTTTCCAATTATAGTTTTTGAGTTTACGAAAAAAAATTACTCATAGTAAAACTTTTAGATTTTGATTCAATAAAAATAAATATATAAAAAATAAAAGATAAAGAGCGTATTTGACAATATTAACTGTTACTATTATAGTAACGGTTAAATGTTAGCTATTAAAAATATTTGATAAAAGCATTTGTTTAATTAATTAAATTCAATAAGAAAAGATAATGAATATGATTATAAAAAAAAAAAATTAATATTTGCGAAACACTAAATATTAATCAAAATATTAAAGTGTTTAACGTAATTTTTTTCGACCTTTAAAAATTATTATTATAAAATTAGTTTTATTATTTTTATTATTAATTTTAAAATTATAAATCAAAAGCTTTTTAAAATAACAATAATAATTATTCAAATTATATAAATATCAGCGCACCAAGAGCGGAAATGCAGAATGAACTCACACAATTCCTGACCATGAAGTATAAGTAATAAATAATGAAGAACCAAAAGCAGAAGATAAACCAATCAGAAGGGCCATTTCCGTGCAAACGCCAATTCACGGAACTAAGGGGCCTAACTTACTTATACCTAAACAATAAGTAATAACCTAAAAACATAGCTGAAGAAAAAAAGAAAAAGAAAAAAGAAAAAGAAAAAAGTCGTCTTTCTGCTGCAGACAACGAATACAACAAGGAAACTGAATGTCGAATTCCAATAATTCTTCCTCTGCTACCAAACGATTTCTAGGATCCCCAAACAAACCAAAACCTATGGACCAGCAATTTAACTTTTAGGGTTCTTACAACCAAAAAAGAAAAACCTAAAAGAGAGAAAAAAAAAAAAAAGAGAATATCATAATCAGACTCGATTCTCTAATTTCAGGCATGGAAATCGAGGTCTCCAGATCTTCGAATCTGGTATCGTCATCCTTGGATTTGGAGAGGAAGATGGAAGCAGAAGAGAAGGATCGGGTTCGGGTTAAGAGGAAGACCTTGCAAGACGTGCTCGAGCAGTGCCAGAGAGCTCTCGAATTGCTTAGTAACACTGATGATGTTGACGATGGTAATGACTCTAACCGTGGAGGGAAGCTAGCTTTGGAGGATGAGGAAGAGCCAGGCGGAGAGACTACTAGATTGTCGGCTGGTGATCGAGAAGCTGAGGAGGTATGGTTGAATTGTTTTTGGGGCCTGATTTTGTTTAATTGTAGTTTAGGTTCGAGTATCAAATTTCTTTCTTTTGTGCTTCTTGCTTAGTTTATTAGCAATAGGGTATTTGATATATGTTTAAAATCTTCTTGGAAATTTTGTCTTGCTTTTTTGTTGATCAAAATGTCATGGCTTTGTCTTGCCGTGCAAAGTTTTGGAGTGATTACTTGTTTAACATGAAGACCATCTTTAAGAACTTGTCTTTATTGGCTGGTATCCATTTGTAAAGTTTAATTGATTTTACCCTTTTAAGTGTTATACAAAGTTTTTTCTTTTAGTACTGTTACTATTTTCTTATTACTCTTTCCTTTGTATTATTATTAATTACTATTGTTAATATTATTGATCCACCTCCTCCTGGCTAGAGCTTTTAGGCTGGCTGCTCAAACACTTTATTACTCGTTTGTTTTTCTGCTTTGTGTCATTACCAATTCATGTCTGATATAAACTACAAAACTGTTGAAGATTCAGATGGCAAGGTCAACTGTCATGTAACGTTTTCGTGATGGCTCATAAGATGTAACTAATTTTCCTAAAACTTTTACGCACTGTAACTTATGCATTCCCACATGTCTGCTTTCCTGATGCAGTTGTGTGACCTTCTCAAATCTAGAGTTGAATGCCCTGACTTTCTCGAAAAGCTAGAGTCCGCTCAAATGTCAGTTCCACAAACTATTACTGGTATGCATCTGTAGATGATGTTGATAATATCTTATGCAAATGATCCTTTTGACTTGCTGCTTAATAGGTTGCTTGGACTTTTCATTCACATCTTAAACTTTAACTTTAAGATTTTGCTCCTTGGATATAGAAACCTAGATGCTAATAGACTTCTTCTATGGTAGCAGAAGAAAGTAGTTCTTGGGCCATGGTCAGTAAACATGATCTTTGGGGAGATGAAACTGTTGATTCTGATCAAGAAGATTATGTTCTTGTTCGGCAAGAGGACATAGTAGACGGCATTGCTTGCTTCATGGCAGCGTATTTGTTGTCCCTTAAACAGACTAAGGTGTAGAAAGTTTCTTGTCCTTATACTTTTTTCATCAGTTATTAGGGTTATGATAAAGTTTATTATTAAGTATACTTCTGTTTTTTAACTATACAACCTTTTTCTGGGAACTTCTGCATCTGTTACTTGATACGGATGCCAAACAAATTCTCAAGTTTTGTTAATTCCAAGTATGCATAGACATTTTTGTGCTTATGTTCACTGAGATATAGTTTGGGGTATGCCTCCTTAAGTCAGTACATTTGAAGAAACATGAATGTATCTCATGCATTTGCACAAGTACATAAATGAGGACAGAGCATCACATATATCATATGGTAGCACAGAAACTATAAAATTACCCATCTGGCTTTTAGATTGATAACCATTTTCTATTGTTGATGATTAGGTATTGATTTTGTATCTTTATTTTCTTATGTCATTTAGCATGAGCTATCTTTTGGACATTGCTGATGTTTTTGAAGCTATTGCAAGTTCTATGTATCATTATGCTAGTGAAATGAAACTGAATAGCGACATTCTACATGCAAAGCATCTAATAGTGCTTCTTTTTTTTTTTTTTCAGGACTTGACCCCTAACCAACTTCAGGATGGTCAGTTTGAACAAAATATTTTCCAATTATTCTTTAGTTCTGTGTTGCATTTCATTTTGTGCATCAGTTCAAATAAGATTCATTATGACCAATTTGTTTGATAGAGCTCTGACACTCTGTTAATTTTCTTTTAGCCCTTAGCAAAACATTCTCTGTAAAAAAGAAGAAAGGGAAGCTTCGGAAAGCATGGGATGGAAGCAAAGTCATCTACAATGTAGCATCTTGGGGAGCAACTGCAATCGGGTAGGCTATTCGATTTGTTTCCCATTTAATGCAGCGGTTCTTTCTTCCTTACTCTGTCCTGTCATTTTGTCTTGGCTATAGTTGTCCCATAGTTTGATGTTTCTGTGTAAAACTTCTATTAGCATTTACTCCATTTCTCTTTCCTCTTGTTTTCTATTATCTATGAAAAGAGGAATATAGCATTCAATTTTTTTTGGTAGAAATAATATGCTTCCTGATCTCTGTTTTTTTCTTACATAACAGGATTTACCAAAATCCAGTAATTCTTAGGGCTGCCACTAAAGCGTTCTGGACTTCTTGTCATGTAATATCAAAGCTTCTCTGATGTGCCTGTCTGGTATTCGGATTCACTGTTGTATTTGTGCCTGTGCTGCAAACGCGGCAGAGTGCTCCTCCTGTTGTATCTCATTCTTTTCATGTGTTGAATTGATTGATTACTTGAATTTAATTTAATATTGTAAATATTTTTCAAGTGTTTACGAGTGCAATTCAAATTCATTGGAAAATCTCCCGACGGGGTTAAAGTCTCTTGACGAAAGTTGTGTCTTGAGACAATCATGTTGCCTCGATTGTAAGCATGCGTAACGTTGGGGTTTAGAAATTGGCTTAGGTATTACTTGTTAAATAAAGGCATCTTTGGTATTTCTACGCGGAAACTCGTTTGAAATTCACTTCGTTTTTTATTATTCTATTTGATGATAGAAAGTTAGGCTTCTCCTAAAGGAAGCTTGCTTGACATGACAAGCAACTGAAGAAACCTCCACATTGGCGTTCAAAGATAACTTCATGCTCTAATTTAATTGTATTTTATTCCAGGATACTTTTAAAACTCTTCCCAGCCATTTTTAGCTTTAGCGCCGTGAGCAACTCGTTTATCTCGAAAACTTTGGGCCTTGCTCTATTCTTCGTTGGCAACTGGAAATTATTAGCGCTCAGGTCGCTGCTACGCAATAGAGCACTTACTGAGTTGAGAATTGCTGAACACTCGTTAGACTCTCAATTAAAATCGCTACACTTTCTCAAATTGTTCGCTATACTTGTATCAGGTTTTAGGATACAAATTTTGTAATAATTTAGCTTCCTTGGAAAATATTTTTTGGATTGTTGGATGTTTTGGATATTTAGAAAAATCAGTCCAAAATATTTTTTGTTCTAGTCAAAGTTAAAGAAATAATTAAATCATTTAAAAACAAAATAATTTTCTAATTTTAAAAGGAAAATATTTTCCAGATATTTACAAATTTGTTATAATCTTATATTCACACATTTATTTCATCAATTAGGAATAATCACCATTCATTATCAGTCACTGTAACCACTGCGAACCATTGTCATTTTTATATATTTTTATCATATTTAACAATAAATTTTTCAAATATAAAATTCTTATAGTTCTATAATTTTGTTTGAGAAATTATAAATTTAATATTTTTAAACTAATTTTTTAATATTGCAACCAAATAACAAAACTAAAATATTTTCAAAATACAAGAAGTTTTCTAAAAATAAACGAAATCTTAATATCCCTATATATTTGTATTATTTCTCGTCAGCACAAAGGTTCATCGCTTGAATGCCAACAAAGACTAATTGACAAATTTATAGGTTAATGGTTGGGCAAATCAGAAATTTTTGTATCGTATATTTACACCGGATTTGAAAGGGATAGTATTTGCACTATAGTCTGATGCAGAGTGAAAAAGAAAGGCAAAGAAGCTTATATCTATCTATATAGCATATTACATATGTAGGTGAAATTAGACTATCTCAGTGCTCTATATATCTATACCCAAAAATGAAAAAGAAATAAAAATGAAATACTTATTGGAGAATGGCAGACTGGTAAAAATGACGAGCAACTGAGACACTTGCTCCCTTGACAAAATTGGTTGCACCTGCAGTTTTGAATGCATTGGTAGAACTGATGGCCATAATTTGCAAGAGGCCAATGAGATTAACTTATATCATCGCTGACTTACCAAGTTTCTGCTTCACGTAATCACAAATCCTCGTAGTTCTCATATCTACAAACGGAAGCGGTTTCAATAGTAGTAGCCATTGTCCTTGTGATTGGGAGTGTCCTTGCATAGCATTGAACGGACTTCCATGATCGATCTTGGTGGCTCAAGATCTTTATCTTGTAGTGCATTCCCAAGCAGCTGCTGCATCTGTGAGGCAAAGGTATCATCCAGGACCTGTAAATTCACAGAAAGGTCAACCACAAGCATATACCATCATTAACAACCAATGCGTTTTGAGTAGTTCACCCTCTTAAACAATCAGTTTAAGAGCAATATACATAAATTCAGTTGGAAAAGTTTCTTTTAAGCTTTATATTTTCCATTTCAGTTTCTCCAAGATCACATCATAATTCACACGACTTGGATCATTTTGGGCAAAAAGGTATCACCATCAATGGAAGAACATAAAGGATTATTATGGAAAATCTAATGCCATAAAAAGTTGGATATGGTGGCCCCAAAATGCATTGCCACATTTTAGCTCTTAATTGTCAGTTTATATTTAATTGAAATCAGTATCTCAATCTATACTAGATAATTTGAACTAGTAAAATTGCACAAGCAGTACTTACAGATACTGCTATTCGCGATCCTTTATACCAGGACCTATTTTCTTTTCTGTTCTCCAAGAAACTAAGAACATCCTGTCACAGAAACAAAGAAAGAACTTAGGTTCAGATGACTCCATCATGACAATTTTTTCAGTCGATCTATTCCCATAATGCTCACCTGCCCCATGCGGTCCCAATAGCCTCGACAGATTGCAACGAATACATGTGTTTCAAAAATAGACTGGAGGTGATTGATTGTATTTGTCAGCTGGTCTTTTAGTGGCTGCATTCTACCTCTTATATCAGATTCTACCACGGATTCCTTTGCTTCCTGGAGAATCTTTTTCAATTTTGTAGTATTCTGCAACTTTGTCTGCAGGAAACAGAAAAAGCAAATGAGTGACACATCAAATCAGTACATAATCTAAATTCTCCACCAACAGAAAAAAGAATACAATCTAGATTGCTGCACAATAATGCATAACTGCAATTATAAATGTAATAATAAGTTTATGCATATTTCCAGTTGAGCATATTTTGCCTTGATTTACTTATTTATGAGACTTAAGCAATAAACATAAATGATGACACATTAAAAGAACTCTCTATCATTTTTAAAATGATACTCACATTTTCTGCTAGTTTTTCTACAACAGCTTGTAGATAACTTCTAAACTTCGCTCTCAGCATTACAGTCACTTCGCTAAGACGCTCTCCAGGAACTGCATTTCCACCATCAGGTATGCAAGAACCCCATGACTTGAACTGAGATTCTATCTTGGGACGCAAGACATCAAGCATCCTCTTCATGGAATTCAACATAATTCCAAGCTGCAAGAAACCAAAATGTAAATTCACAAAAATATAGAATTGTTAAAGGAATCTTAACAGTCAAGAAGTCACAGCTCACCTCGTCAGGAACTGTATATGAACATACAGATCTTTGTGTAAGCTTCATCACATACTTGAAGCCAAATTTCTTGGGCGCCAAATTCTCCTTCAATGGTGCTAGCACATCAGCATATTGTTTGTCCAAAGCCTCCACTATTGCCTTCTCAACATCAGCAATAGCCTTTTTGATGAGGCAGAGCAATACAAACATGTTCAATAAGTACAAGTTTATTGTCATCAAGAAAAGAAAAAGGAAAGCATCATGTTATCAAGTGGATCCATGGAAAGAAAAGGGGTTCACTTGCAAAAGGACAAATCAAGCCTCCATCATGGGACAATATATACTGATTTACAACCTTCTTATAACCACTTTCTTAACTTTCTTTCACATATAGTCAATTCCTTTTCACCTCCACAGAAAAGGGAGCGATTATTTATACATTTGCTCCAGGGGACAGCAAAAGTTGAAGTTTGTAATAGTAACCATTATTCTAGTTACCTATTACTGTAGTTGGACAAGGGAACAATTAACTACAGTTGGAACCCTTGATCCCATCTCAGAAAGCCAACAAATTTTGTTGGTCAGTCACCAACCACGAGACTAACAATAGGGTAAAAGAAGGCTCAAGGATGCATAAACAGCAAACACAAACCAACATTACAGGCAAGCATCAATTTACAAATACTGACACACTTTTTTTCAGGCAGTGTTTACACGTCACAGTGCATAATTTTTCTTTTAAGGAAAAAGAGTGGAGGGGGGCTGGAGGAAACAAACCAACTAAGAAGAATCTCAACCTAATTAAAAAGAAAATTTTGAGTTGACATTAAGAACTTTATATGCTATGACACCTAAGAATTACTTTTACTGTTTTACAAAGTTCTAATATTAATTGTGCAAAATGTTTAAGTTCTTCAGCCACTTTTATAATGGTGTAACATAGACATAACAAAGTATAAATAAGAAAATTAAATTCAGTGTAAGTCATATAGGCATACATTTTCTAGGACAAAAATGTACTCTGGCCATCGGCAAGTGATGACTTCATAGTTGTCTAGAGTCTCTCTAAGACGGTCATACATCTCATCGATAAAGGGAGTAGTAGAATGTTGCGTCCTGACTCCTGACCATTTTACCTGCAATTAAACAAGTTTTAGACAATTTTCCAAGGAAAATCATTCCCTCAAACATACCTTGAATATAGTCATTGAACTGACATCTTGAAAAATTAATAAAAGATAAAAAAAAAAATTTGCAACTTATAACCATCATGCGACGATGGAAGAAAGAGAAGGTAATTGAATCTAACCATAAAGTTATTTGACATTTATTGTTTTTATAATAAAAATTGGGATGTACATATTCAAATGTGAAGCAAAAAACATAGAGATCAAGCTTAAGGCAAGAGAATCATTCCAAATGTCATGTCGCTGGATTATAAACTGCAAGCTCTTCTCAGAGTTTAGAACAGATGCAAGAGGACTGAACAATAAAAATATGCTATTGCTTGACAAATGTACCTTGTCTAGTTTACATGACTCTAGCAAAGAAAGGCGCTTGTCTTGAATCCATAGCATGATATACAAATGGAATAACTCTTTTGCATCAACTCCTCCTTTCACATGACTGAGAAAGATAAAAGAACCAGATAATGTAAAGAGAGATGAAACAATGTAAAGCAACAAATATGATTTCTATTGCCTGGAGCTACCTAATGTTCCAGCTGGCAAGGTCCCTCTGAAAATCAGCTGTTGCAATAACGAGTTCCGCTACATGAGGTGAAGGACCAGTTGGAGGGCATGCAAGTAGGAAAGCCCGCAATCTATTGCAAAGCTCTGTGCTGTATATGGATGAAGATAAATTTGGAAGGTCTATAAAGCTGCATGATAAAATATATGAAAATCAGAATCCCACAAGTCTGGCATCAAATCACTGGAACTACCAGTCAATTAATCATATTTGGCTATGCAGTTTAATTACTTTGTAAATATAACATCAGGAAGGACAAACGAAATGACGTAAAAAATCTTCAAATTCAAAAATCAAAAGATCCATTCTGTATGTTCTCCATACCTGGGAAGTATATGTTGATTGTGGATTTCAATATCAGTACTAATTTCATTTTTAATGTTCAAACAAAGGGAAGTCATCTTCTGGTAAGCTGTGGACATTGCAACCGAGTCCATCAAAGTAGCTTCATTGTTGCTAGTAACAAATTCATCTGTCTCTGTCAAGTGCCTTCGTGACCTTTTCCTGGCAGCAGCCTGGAGGAGATGCTCTTTAAGTGATACAAAAAAATGGAAAGACTTGAAACAAGGTTTTTATAGTGAGAACTTCAAAATTCTTGTACCTGGAAATAATGGGTGAGATTTGTTTGTGCCTCAGGAGACAATATGTCATGAAGAAGGGTATATAGCTTCACTGCAGGTTCTAGTGCAGGTGCTGCAAGTCCAGTTGCAGGCTTGAAAACATCCAAAATACCAGATAATGCTGATTCATCAAGAGACTTGTAGTTCTCAAACACTAGAGCTAGAATCTGTTCAATCTGATCCTTGATTTCTCCCAAAAGCCGGTTCTAGTGAAATATCCAGCAATTATGCATGTAGAATTTAGAGAGTAATGAGCAGCAAGCAGGCAACAACAAAATAAATCGCAAGAAAATAACATGAGAATGGCTAAATTATGAGAGAAACAAAATATAATCAATGATTGAACAACCAAAAGAACGGTGGTAATCATATGAGGATGGAGAAGAAAATATTGTGCATAACTTGTGCAATCTGAAAATCCTAAAGTTTACCTCCTGATGACTCAACATACTCTTGTTATGGCCCTTCATAATCACAGGCATTAACAAATCATGCACCAAGGTCAGGCAGTCAGCCGTGGGTGTAGCTACATCCATTATATAGGAAAGGTACCTGTCACCGTTACATATTAGAAACCACAATTGCAACAAGAACCAAAGAACAGAAATTGGCAGAAACTACATATTTGCTTTCATCTTACTCCTAATATTTGTTTTTTCCTTCTTCCTTATTTCATTCTTTTTTTAAATTCTCATGGAAGAAACATCAGACAGGCAATATTGATACAGAAAGTGCACAACTTAATGAATCTAGTCCATAAATAATTGAATTTAGTTGACAAACATTAATCATGAATGGTCAAGCACAACAAGTCCTTGTTACCTCAACTTGGTATAGGCATCTGAAACTCCATAATATGATGCAAATTCAGTAAGGAGCCATTTCCATGACCCATAAAGCAATAAATTCCTTTGCTGAAATTGTTGAATCTTCATAGCAACTTCTAGAACAAGGTCATATGCAACCGTCTCAGCTACAGAGCCACACTAGGATAAAGAAACAATAATCAGTGTCATATGTTACTTGACATGAATCCATGATAAGAATTAAATTCCATACAAACACTGGACATCTTGCATGCAACTATCCTGAGGAGTACCTTGTCTCTTTCACAAGTGGAGCCAGAAAGAACTCTAATTTCAAAACCCACCTAAAACTACAATCAACATGTCATTTATAGCACTTTTCATCTTTAACATCAAATATATAGCCACTGAAAGGATAAAACAGATAGTTTGTTTCCATAATTGGAAAATGAAAAATATGATTCAGATTTGATGAGTAGTAAATTAGTTAACACTCTTAATAATATCTCTAAATTCCAATTAGCTAATTTTGCTTCCACAATCATTAATTGTAAAATCAATCTAAAGCCTTTGCAGATATACTCCTCTTTTTAAACAGCACATTTCATCCATAATTCATCATATCATGGCCATCTAAGTTGTGATCAAATTCTGTTTAATGATCAACTGCAAAACAACCCCAAATGTGGTTGAATCGTGACACAAACAGGAGATGACTTTGACAATGTAGTAAATATAACAATAGCAGCTAACCTTGAGATTACTGTCATCTGAACTCGTAGAGTAATTAATGTAGAGTTGTAGTTTGCCCACAAGCTCATGTTCTGGTTCTCTATAAATAGACCACCAACGCAGCTTATCAACCTGCCTCCAATAGGTATAAGTCAAAGCCAAGTAACAATTAACATCGCCAAGTAACTTTATCAAGGCTTAGAAAGTATTACCGGATCTTCAGCAATAGTTGCAACTTGAGCAAGGACACGGCCATAATAATTCCCCTTAGAATCTTGGACTTCAACGATTAAATCATCCCCTAGACTATCTGGAAAGCTGTAGAGTTGTCAATACCTTTCTCGAGTAGATTTTAAGAAAAACAAATAACTAAAACTGAGAGCATCGGATAATTTGCACATACAACAGATGGGTTTCACCAGATCCAGGCTGCATCCGGATGCTATCTTCTTCTGCTGAACTTTTCAGTCTTAACAAACACGAGAATGTTTCTGATGACATTTGAAACAGAAAAAGAGGTCAAGAAGGTATGCATAGCGTGGGCCAATGATAAGCTATAAACAGCTTCAGATGTTTAAGCCAGCAAAGGAATGAAGCTACCTAAAATTTACCCATCAATATCTAAGCAAGTAGATCAGAGGATATTTACCCTTGGAGATTGTATTGGACAGTTTAATGAGATTAGGATGTACCGACAGTAACATATGAAGGCTAATCTTTATTTATCTATTTTTCGGTTAAGATAAATAACATTCTTGTCAGGATTTGCATACCTTGAACAACTTCATATGATGATGAACTGTTACGTAGACTTGTCACACCAATTTTAAGGAGTCCAGACACCTGTTTTAGATACTGAGTACTGGCGTGCACATATGCCAAGCTTTGACGGGAAAAAGAACCATTTGCAGGTAAGCAATGTGCAACGCGGATTTTTCGAAAAGCTTGCCAGGCAGTAGAAAGTGTTGACTGCAACTTGGAGAAACGATATCGGACAGATTCGAGTTTTAGCTTTGGTGCCCTAAGTGTCAGAGATGACATGCTACAGCCAGTAGGAGGGTCAAGAACTGTCTTCACTCTTCGCACTGCAAAATCGATGAGATATTAGAATAAGTCGTTGCAAATACTTGAATAGTTATGTCAAAGCTGAGATAAACACCTTGCACTTTCATCTTCCCAATGATTTTCTTAGGTTTCACAGCAGTACCCTCACTAACAAGCTCAGACGAGCGCTTTGCCAGTAGTTCCTCTTCTGATTGCAACAGGACAGTCTGTACACTGTAGTTCAAGAGAAATGGAAACTGGAGTTAGTGAAAAACTGAAAATTAGAACATTTTAGCGTAATGCCTATAGAACTTAATTGACAATCCTTCAAAAGAAGGAGGAAAAGAAAATAAAATGTCACCCGAATGCCTCCCGTAATAAAGCACATTCATTTTCCAAGAACATAGGAGCTTCCATGCATCCCCGTGCCCAAGCATGAAGACAAAGCCGCACACATCCATCATATGCAATCACAGCATGCCAAGGCCCCAATGCACTGATTTTATTTACAAAAAGAAATCAGTACATTAAAGAACAGAGTAGCAGGAATAAGGTTCTTGGGTATAATTTCATCCACAATTGTAATGTTGAACATGCACACCTTGCATGAAAGGTTGGAAGCCGAGCTGGGTTTGAGCCAGAAGGAATAGCAGCTTCCACACCAGCAGTTGTTCTGTTAAAAAAGAACAGGATATTGGTTCCAATACATAAAAAATCTCGGATATCCACTTTCATGAAATGCTGACAACATGTCTTTCAAACTAAGAATGTGCACAAAGTTTCTGCCCAAAAGGGTCACTTAACAAAATTTTGCGAACCTTAAAAACTGATCAGGATTCTTGTTTCCAGAGTTATCCTTTGGTTCACCTACAGAAGTAGGTTTCGTTTTGCTTGTCTCGTTAATGGTAGAGAAGTCAGAAGAATCTGTGATGCCTGTGGTTTTATGAACTCCAGATGCCAGTTCACCCGTTTCTTTAATTTCCTGACCAGAACCACAAAATGGAGGTGCACTGGGAACATCATCATCATAAGAAAGTTTCTCATTCTGCAGGTTTCTGGAATGCAAATCCTGTATGACAAACAAATCAGTGAGAAAAATTGCAAAACTGAAGAATAAGAAATCCTAAACAAGGAAAATACAAATGGTTTTCACTCCTTATTCTTTGCCTTACATAGTAACAAATTAAATTAACATTTCCCATATACAATTATCAAGGCAAAGTTTGCTCTACATAGAACACTGATAACATTAAAATATATTTATTAAAATATTTTAAAATACTGAATCCCTAAGATATCTCCTAAATCCCTCAAGTATCTGGTAATACGGTTAGTAATATAGGATAGTGAAGAGATTTTCTCCACTACCCCATCTATCATAATCTTTAAGCAGTTGCTTATTTCTCCCTGTATAAATATACCAAAAGAGAAAAGACTGAGGGACAATTATCAATGTTCTCTTTTCCTTACTCTTCTTTAATGTAACAATTCTCTCCAAACACTCTGCAAACACAATTACACTTTTTGAGATTATCAAATACCATAAGCAACAAGCAAATGGAGAGAAAATATTAATATAATCGTGTGAGATTATACCCAAGTCAGTTTACTATTTCAAGCCGGTTGTTACCTATCCACCTTTTTCCCAAATGCATTAACGAGTTCACTACAATGCTAGTGATTTTATGCATAATAATCATATTTGTATCAATAGTGACTTGATAGTTGAGATAGAATAAGCATTGTCCAAAAGGAAAAACAAGCATTATTCCAGATTATTGGCTCAGTTGAGGAAACATTTTAAACTAGAAACTCAGTAGCTCATTCTGTGGAAATGAACAGGTAGACATTTATGTAGTCAGTAAGCCATAAGTTCCAAAATCACAGAATCGAGGAAATTTGACTGTAAAATAAGATTCCTGATGAAAAAAGAACTGTTTCATCCAATAAAGTTGAAATTGCTAGTAGCAGAAAATTTCCGTGCTTCCAGTTCCAGCAAGAAAAGTTCCCCTTTATTTTTACATCATATTACATGAATATGAAACAATTACTCTTCCTTTTTTCTTCTATGAGACCTGTGTTTACTGATGATTATTAAAATTACTACATTCTTACGTCCTTAGTCAGACATATCTAGAAATCGAGACTTTCAAATTTGCAAAATACCTGATCCTGAAGGTGAAACGTTAAGGACTTGTAGTGAAGGCGCAGGCAGTTTAGCGAATATATCAGCAAGCATTTCAAATTCCAAATTGAAGATAATTTACATAAACTAAAACAAACCTTTTGTCTCAAAAAAAAAAAAGAAAAAAAAAGAAAAAAAAAAAAGAAAAGATAAGAAAAAACAAACCCTTGGACCAATGGTTTCAACGTTAGCCTGAGAAGACACCACACTCGAAGCATATCCTTCAGAAACACGAATTCTACTCCTAGGCAAAGCACTACTAACACTCCCAGCTTGAGTAGTAGAAAACTCAGAACTACCAGCGGAATCTGATTCCTCCTCATCATCCTCGGTATAAACATTCCTTTCAACCGGATACCTGCTATTTCCTCTAACAAACCTCTCCACCACACTTCCGCCTCTCCCCGCCGCAACCGTCTCCATAGACGAACTAACATCGGAGTAATCACTGACATAACGCGTTCCTCTTTGTGTAGCATTTCCATATCTTTGCCTATTAACACCAGAACTAGGGATTCTTTCATGTTGAGGAGAGGAATCAAGAGAATACCGTCCTCCATAAACATCATCTTCATCTGACTCAGTAGTTATGTCATTGTCGGAAGCAGACCGACTATCGTCGACATCGCCAGGTATTGTACGGGACACCGGAATTGCAGTGGACGGCAAGTGTCCGCTTCTGAATTTAGACGGCGGAGGCAAGCCAAATCCGCGGCCGCCATTTCTATAGTTAGCAATCGGATCTATTTTAGGCCTTAAACTCGAATGCGAAAGAGGAGTTTCCTTCTGGTTCTGAAAAATAGCAAACCGAGCAATGTCAGTAAAATTGAACTGCTATTAAATGAAAGCAATGCAAAATTAGAAAGTTAATAATTGAAAATTATGAATATAATTAGCATTAACAGTAACAACAACCTCACGAACCCAGCGAAGGGCATTAGAGTCGAGTCCTTCCGTGAACATTCTCTGCTTCACCTAACATATACGGAGAGAGGAAGAAACAAAAATCAGCCTTATAATACAAAAAACGAAGGGTAAAATATAGTGGAAAACAAAGTAAACTCACATAAGAATCCAATCACAGGTTTTCATTCAAAGCTAAAAGAGCTGGATGAGGGTGATACAAGAAGAGAGAATCAGCGTATGTTCTAAATGTGAGAGAAAGAGAGGAGATCAACTTAGAGAAGTTGAACGTGGTGTGAGATTTGAGAAAGGGGCAAAAAGGTTTGCTTCCCTCAAAAGCTTCTTTGCTGGTTCAGTTTAGGCTGCTCACCCGCTCAGCTCTGAAGGACTGCAGGAGACGCAACGCTTTGTCTTTGCAAAATTGAGGTTTTTTGTTTTTTCGTTTTTCAAAATTAAAATGAGTGCATAAATTAATAACAAATCAGAGTCAGGGATGAATGTTCAAAATTGATAAACCTGCACATATAATGGTGATATGCAGTGTAATTCCTGATTAAAATGAGACTATAACTTTCTAATTAGGATTGTATTAAATTTGTGATTATTTCGTATATTATTAAAAAAAATTATATTTTATTTTAATGATTCTAATTTATTTTTTATCAAATAGAATTTAAATTTAAATAATAAATTAAATTAATTACCTCTAATTTTATTCAGTTAATAAAGTTAAAATCTTTCCAAATAGAATTTAAAATTAAAAATAAATAAATGTAAATTAATTACCTCTAAATTTTATTCAGTTAATAAAAGTTAAAATCTTTAAATATATATTATATATATATAATATATATTATAATATAATATATATATATATAGTAAAAGAAGCTTAGGCATTGTTTTTTTATTAATTTCAATGTTACCACCTTTAATAGATGGCATGTAATGATTAAATTTTCTATTTAACAATTTTTTTTAATTAGGCATTAAAGTAAGGGAAATGAAAAATATTCCCACGCGACGCCGTTCCCAATCTCTGCGAGATGGAATGCAGTGGATTGTGACAAAAAAATATTAAAAGGAAGCTTAGGATTGTTTTTTATAATTTCAATGTTACCACCTTTAATAGATGCATTAATGATTAAATTTCTATTTAACAATTTTTTTAATTAGGCATTAAAGTAAGGGAAATGAAAAATATTTTCTCCACGCGACGCCGTTCCCAATCTCTGCGAGATGGAATGCAGTGGATTAGTGACAAAAATGGTAAGTTAACCCGATAATAAAGCACACGTTTAAAAGCGAGGACAGGTTGGTGCAAAAGTAACGGGTAGAGTTGACGTAGCAAAGGAACTCCGTTTTCTTTTTAAATTGAAAAACATTAAAGAGTCGAACGTTGTAAGTGGGGACTACATTTGCTCTAATTTTCCCGCTTATCTATACTAAGGAATCACTCACATGGTATGATGGGCCCCACGTGACTCATACTCTTTTTTATCACCCTCCTTTCTCTGTACTAATGTGTGTGTGTTGAGTCGTCCGTTCTTTGGTTCGTGTCTTGTTTGTTTTATAACCCATAATGCCCGTTTAGCAACTTAGAAACAAACAAATTTACAAGGGACCTAATTTTTTGAAGTTGGACTTGGAGATTACAAGAAAATTAAAATTGGGACAGATTCCAAAATCCATGTACTCGAAGAAATTGGTCAATGATTGACACGTGTGAACGTAGATCGTAGAGTAAAGAGTGTTTTTAAAAAAATAATAATAATTTTATACAGAAGACCCACAGCTATTGTTGAGCCCATCATTCCACGTATTGACGGTGGAAATCAGAGTAGAAGAATATAAGCTTTAATTTGAAAATTGTTTGAACATGCTGCTGATGGAGAGACATTTTTCAAATTTATATTCTTAATCTCACTTGGACACTTCTGACTCGTACCGGACCCACAAAGATTCGTTAAATAAGAAATGGACCGGCGTTGATGTAAACTGTGCGACTCGTAAAGTTAGCGATATCTCGTTTGCAAATAGACAAGATTAACCAGTCTAGAAGGCACTGACACAATGAAAATGAGTGGAAATTTGGAACCCAACCCAATATAACCTGCCCGCCTAACGACTTACCTATCAACCTACCGTTTTAGGAAGGTCGACCTAACGAACGAGACTGGTGGGCTTATTTGGTTTAAATTTATGTGAAGAAAATACTTCAAACATTCGAAAAGAAATTGTGTTACACAAATCAAATCCAGGACTTGTAAGCCTCGAGAATTCCGCCTATGCAAGTGCACAATGCCACAACTGATTGGCCCGTTTGCAGTGACTTCATATATTACATAATTCAGACATACCCACAATTTTTGCATACCAATCAACAATGCACAGGCCAAACTATAAGTTTATCCAATGGCTTGCATGCAAATTGGAGATGAGAAAACAATACAGATAAGAGTAATATGATGATCCTTGATGATACTTTCCATTCTCGCTTTCACATCCAACAAATTACAGATGAATTTTTATGAACAAAAAGTTTATTTCAAGACAACTCGAGTGACAGACAATGGAAATTTATTTCCAGTGTATATCCATGTAATACAACAAGGTCAGAGTCAATCAATTATTGGAGCTTCTTTTGTGTAACAGAAAAAAAAAACATGCATCATCATGATTGTCATTTGTTTGAATTCAATCATACAACGCATCCACATTACACTCCCCAAGGAAAACTTTGATACTGAGCGGTGAACCACAACTACCTTCAGCTATAATTGCTCTGTCATTGGCGGCCATGTGTGCAATAATCTTGTATATCATTTCAACCTGAAATAACGAGTAACTAGAAGGTTAGCATGAGATTTTCATCTCCCGAGTAATTTTAAGGAGGATAATCTGCATACATCTTCTTCTGCATGGCAACGTTCAGCTACTTCTTGAAGTGTCAATGGTTCAACAGGCTCTTTACAGCTGAAATGAGAGTCAGCACAACATCATTATCAGTAACATATCCCACTTCCAGTAAAACAAAGGACAAAAAGACGAGACAAGAAAAGAAAACTGCAATCTAACTGGTCAAAACTATTTAGAATTCCACATTTTTAATTCTATGATACTCGAACCTAATCTCACCAAAATTAATAAAATTTGCAAATGAATTCTAGCATTAGTAAAGCTACATATTTAAAATGAATTCTATAGTTAATCTAAACATAAAAATTCATTTATAGATGAATTTTTTTCAATCAAAGTCATATTCATTTGCAAATGAAATAGATTCTGTATGAATTTATTCCAAATACTTTGTAACAGACACCTTCGACCACCAAGGAAATGTTTTCCACCTCAAAAGAGGGGTTCCTAAGCTATTGCATGGGAATTGATTTTAGGAGGTCAAAGAGTCCATTCTGAGACACAGATGAACCATTCCTCTTCCTTTACGCACTGGTCTGACCTGTCTTATATTTAATTAGTTCAAAATCATGGGTATAATAATAAAAATCTATTGTATGCGTAAATACAAGTGCATTATTTTGTGGATGCTGGCAGGATTTCAAGCCAGGCAACATCTTCATAAAGAAATGCTACACACAAAGATTTAGCAACTGTGCTGCCGTACAGAAAATTCAGCATGAGGAATTAGAAGGCAGATTGATGGGACATACCTTGCCTCATTAAGTACTGCCAAAACCCGCTTCTGAAGGGCTAAAACTTCCCCTGCTGCCTTTTTCCCAGCTTCCACACCTGAGATGAAATTAATTGCCAGGCAAAAAAAACCTGTCAGTTTGGTTTTCTCATTAAACATGAATGAGTTCTACCGAAGGCACATGGAGTACTAGGGCACAATATCATGTAGCAACCGCAACAATTGACCTTCATTTTCTCACTTCAACACCCAAATGTCATTTGGAGGCAAGAGGATGAGTATTTACCAGGTTGATGATAAGCATTGATATTAACTAGTGAGGCATATATCCCAACTGCTCGTTCATAAAGTGCAACAAGAGCCCCCACGGTCCTTGGTGTCACTTCTTGCACAGTAACTGTTATGGACTCCCTGTCATTACCATACAGCGCCGACCGGGTGCCCTGTAAATTCGTTTTGGCAGTGGAGCATTCATCAGCAATAAATCAATAAGATCTAACTTCTAACTCTAGATTTAGAACCACTTGGAATTGTTCATAAACAAGCTTTCATTATATCTATACATCTAACCTGTAGCATTCCAAATAGGTAGTCACCACATGTGACACCTGGTTCAAGCTCCCAATCATGACCAGGGGGTCTATCACGTAGCACTTCAATGAAAGTCACAAAGAAATTGTGCACACCCTCTCTCAGTTGTTGAATATAACTAAAGAAAGGAAAAAATCGGTGCCTCAGGCCTCAAAATAGAGAGTGTTAATATAATTTAATATAGATGTTATAGACAATAAATAGCACTTACGCATGTTGATCTGTACTCCCTTTATTTCCATAGACTGTGATTCCTTGATTAACCTGTGAAATAAGAAAGGTCCAGTTATAAACAATAAATAGCACTTGCGCTTTTAAGTTCTTCTAACTTAAAGAAACAAATCCTCTATGTTATAATAAATTGCAAACCCATGTTTACAAAAATATAATAATTTGATTCAATCTGATGCATTAAAGCAGACTCACTTGGGAAAAGAAAAGGCAACAAATAATTTACATATGTAGATTACTTCCACACTATATTTATATCCTGTAGTGATTTTTAACTATTTTATTCAATAGCTTCATTAAGTTACATAACCACATTATGAACCAAGGACCATGCCTAAAAGGTTTTCGGCCAGATATCTGTCTAGGACACAAGAAAAAGCACATACAGCATAAGTGATATCCCTTTTAACTTTTGAGATGTCACTATTAGTCCTCACCTGGCAGGTGATTTGGTAATTTTTAAAAAAAAAAAAAAATCAATCTTAGAAATAAAAATTTAACAAATGGGGTAACTTCAAACGTTAAAAAATTATGTCACGGAAAAATGAATGAGGAAAGTGCCAATAATGAGAACAGCAGCAGGGGGAGGAAGAAGAGGATATTCTTCTAATCAAACATACCCGATTGCCATCCAGGTCAAACTCCTTGCCAAGGGATTCCATGACCAGCTGCTGCAAATACCTACTAAATAGTAATAGGCTGTCTTTGTATGGAAGGACAACCATGTCCTGCATTAAGTCAAAGTACACAGAAATAACATATGAAATCAGTTTTGACTTATTACAATTGAGACTATGGATTTTGTATATGGAAAGCAACAATTACCTTGGATCCTACCCCATCAGTGGCCCAGTACCAGCATAGAGCTAGCAAAGCTGCAGGGTTATCCCTAATCTGAAGAAGAAGAAAGGTATCAGAGGGGAAATCCTAAAATGAGCTACAATTGTAAGAATGAAAAAGCAAAGTAGAACAAAAGACTAAGTAACATTCCACGCTTAATCATGCAACTGTTCTCATGGTAAGCAGCAGTTATTTCTAAGTTGATTATCAATTTATCATTGATCTCTGAACAAACTGTTCAATCTGTTCCAGAACTTAAAAAAGTGGCCTCCCCATGCAAATTAACAGAATACACCCACGTTCCAGAAGGTACAATGAGATCAGACTTACTGAATTTTCTTTTCATCAGTCTTGAACTACCATAAGTGCATTCATAAAGAAGCTTCTCAATGATAACAGTACAAGGACATTAGATTATCTCCAGGACTGTAAATAATCAAATTTTATAGCTATGCAGATACGATGCAAATGAATTTGAAAACACATGGGTTGGTTCTTTAAGAGATAATTCATTCTTGCAATTTTAAATGTTGAAGATAGATCAAAATCAATGCTTACCACTCTAGTTCTATTTGCTTCATCCATCAATGATGCACCAGCAAGCATTTCTCTAATGTTGATCCCCTGGAGTAAAGATAACTTCCAAAGAATTAATGCACTAAAATTGAGAGTGACCAAAAATATTAGGTTTTGAATTCAGTGGTCATTTACCTGAAGTGCAGCAGGAAGTAATCCAACTGCCGACATTTCAGATGTCCTACCACCAACCCAATCAAACATAGGGAATCTAGCTAACCAACCCTCAATTCTTGCAGTGTTGTCTAGTAATGAATTTTCTTGTGTTACAGCAACACCCTGAATCAAATTATGCATATCAATTTCAAAACCAAAGAAAAAGAAAGAGAAACTGCACATAAAGTACAGGGGTTCCACATAGAAGTCATAACTCCATCAACAACAGCAACAGAGCTGGAATTAAGTTAAAATTGAAAACCTTCATCACTTCATAGAAATTTGAATACCTTCATCACTTCATATAAAACAAAGACCAAGTGCATTCAAACACAAACCATTGAGTTGTTTATCACATGTAAAATAAAATAGAAAAGTAAAGCTACAATCTCAAACATAGAAAAGAATTGCCAAGTGAGGCTGTGATGGAATCAAGATCACTAAAATATTTGAAAGTAGTTTATGCACCGTAAGTGTCAATAGATTCTGGGAGGTAAAAGCAACAAATCTGTCACTTCTAAGATTATGAAGTTCAGCAACGGATACTTCAAAAGAAAATGCAGCACATAACATGTACCATTATGAGTATTTAAAACCGCCAATTGTCTTCCACAAAAGAATACCAATGCAATTCCCTTGTGTATAAGAGAGTTAACCACACTGTAGAATTAATCCCAGAAAAATAATTAATAATTAAAAGCATAAAAGACTAAATATTGCAATATATAGCAAATTGAACAGTACAATCTAGTGTCTGTGCAAGTCAACCAACATTTGGTCAGTTATTGCCCATCATAATGTTTTATTGCAACTACAGTTCCAATATCAAATAAATATTTTCAAAATAGCGACATGAGGCATTGGAAATTAACAAAAAGCAGAACAAGAACCTGAGACCAAAACCTGTTTTGCAAAATTCAGGCCAGCTTCACGAAAGGCCTTCTGTACTTCCAACAAACCATTTCTAGTTTCAGGGGTACCTCCACTCTGCAAGGAATTAAAACAGATAGAACATTGGCAAAATTTTAACTGCGGGGAAAGGTACCCAGAGTTATAAGCAAATTTCTTAGTAAAATGTAAGATGTACATGTATACCTTTGAAATCACAATGACAAGAGTAGAAGCCAGCTCAGGGCCAAGCTGAGCAATCTGATGATCAATTCCAGCTGGATCCGTGTTATCGATGAATCTTATCTGCCAAGAAGATAAGAAAATGTTACTTGCCATAACAAAATTTCAAAATAATATTAGAACCAGCCACAATGGGTTGACCAATTCCTGGTTCGAAGATACCTTCAGAGGAGGATTATCAGGAGCCAGAGCCTCAGCAACAAATTGTGGTCCAAGAGCTGAACCTCCGATCCCAACAGAGAGTATTTGAGTAAAACGACCTTCTGGAGGAGATGGCGGCCGAATCTGCAACAATGCAAAAAGGAAGCAAAAGGAGACAAACATCCAACTGAAATTAGCATCCATTCGGAATCATAATGCCGTTGACATCTCAAAACTATAAGTCTATAATATCTATACTACAACTTCAAATAACCGATGACCGCCATACCAGTTAAGGTAAAATTGGCGGCACAAGACTGACCTTACCACTGACGATTTCATCAGCGAACTTGCAAACGGCGTCGAGCGTCAAGTCAATCTGCGTTTTTAGAAAAGTATTAGGCGCGAGACTCGAATTCCTTAACCAATAATGCCCAACCATCCTCCCTTCATCAGGATTCGCAATAGCGCCCTTCTCCAACTCCTCCATATCCGTAAACGCCTTCTGTAGTCGGGGCTCCATCTCCGCCACAAACTCGTCCGTGAACCCGACCCGACTTACATCCAAATAGAGCCCTAACTCCTTGTGCTGGTACAACCAGTCCACGTATCTCCTCCATAGACTGCTAGGATCTTTCTCCAATCCTTGCTTCGGCTTGGTTAGCAACTTATCGTTTGTCTTCGACAAATTGGACGAGATCTCGCGAGCTACGGCCTGAGTTTGAACAAGCCGAGACGACCGAGTTGGAGACGAGAGTGAGGTTTTGATGAGCTGTGGATTAAGCGTGGTTTTAAGAAGAGGGGTTTTGGGCTTTAGAGAAGGGGAAGAGGAGCAAAGGCCGGAGAGCGAGGCCATTGCGAACAGGAATCGTCGCCGGCGATGATTACGGAAGAATATATAGAAGACAAAGGAGAAGAGATGGAGACTTTCAGTTAGTCCATAACTGGCGATATTTTTTATGAAACCGGAAATATATGAGAAATGTAGTTTTCGGGCGTTGAGGGGTTTTGAATTTCTGTCTTCTACTGTTTTCAGGCTGTGACTGTGATTGTACAAGAATAGCAAGATGATTGGCCAGTTGGTTTTTCTGTTGCTCACTTGCTGAAAAAGGGCCGTTATTTACTTTATAATTGCGATAATGCCCTCATATATTCCCAAGGCTTTGACTCGTCTTGTTCCGTAAAAAGAGAGAGCCAAATGGGAAGGGTAAGTGGGTAACATCGCCCCTCCATTTTTTTTTTCATTTTAGCCGACATTGTTGAAAGATTCCTTATACCTATTCCAATGGCAATTAGTTTTTGGTAAATAACTATTTAGCCCATAAAAATTTTCTCCTAATTATAATTCTGCCCCCCTTATTTAATGAATATACTAATCAACTCATAATATTTAGTTTTGTTAAATTAATATTTTTCAAAAAAGAAATGCTTTGTTAAATTACTCCTTCCTTTACAAAATGTTATTTTTTGTGGTTAAGTTAACAATGAAATAATAATTTAATAATACATGTCAAACTAATAACTATATTATTTGGCAGGAATTAATCCTTAAAAGATGTAATTACAATCAAATGTTTATGTGGAGGGAATAAATAATTTTTAACCTTTGTTTTTTTTTTTCCATGGATTAATATTATTATAAAATTGTAAGTTTCAGGTGGTTGCGCTTGCACCTACTCCCACTCCTTCATACTTCTATTGCACAGTTGCACTCTCACCGTCTTACAGCATTATTTGTAATGCACATTAAAAATTAAATGCCAGCTGACTTTATTAATTTTTTTCACCTATTCTAACCTGGTACCAAAGAAGTATGTTTAATATTATTTTTACTTGTATTTTTTTTTTTTTTTTGGTTCAAATGCATCATATATAGGCATATTTAGAAAAAAACAAAGTCATCTAACTTTCTCGTTAATGTTGAGCTATAAGGTTCTTTTTTCATTCGCTGATGAAATGATGATTGATGAAAGTTAGTTGTTAATAAGGAAGGGTTTGGTGTAGAATGGCGACAGTGTGTTAGAATACAGAAATGTTAGCTATTAAATAATTATACTATTTTAATAATTTGAATTAGATACACAAAACAGACAACTTTTTACTCATTTTAATCCCTTTGACGCCTTCCGCTGTATAAATTTGAAACATTTTAATGAAACTTTCAAATCATAAAACAAATATATGGTTGGAGCCTATAAGGTTCTTTTGTTCATTCGCTGGATGAAAATGATGATTTGATGAAGTTAGTTTTAATAAGGAAGGGTTTGGTGTAGAATGGCGACAGTTGTTAGAATACAGAAATTGTTAGCTATTTAAAAATAATTATACTATATTTAATAATTTGAATTAGATACACAAAAAACAGACAAACCTTTTTTACTCATTTTAATCCCTTTGACGCCTTCCGCTGTATAAATTGGAAACATTTTAATGAAAAACTTTCAAATCATAAAAACAATAATATTATATATAATATATATATATATATATAGGATATATATTTGTTTATTTTTTGGAAAGCCAAAATGCTATATATTTGTTTATTTTTTGGAAAGCCAAAATGCTGAAATAACCTTGTGAAAAAATTTTTGTGATCGAAAAAATTCGAATTTGATACGTTTTGTAATTCAGTACTTTAACGGTTCACATTTAAATTCACTAAAATTCAACTTTTTGTCATTTCATTTCATAAGCTAAATCATTTTGTAGTCAATTAATGAATTTAATATAATTTTTTATAAAATGTGAAAATCAAAAAATAAATAAAAAATGTGTCCAATAAGTGATATCGCTCTCTGATCCCAGCTGGAAGAGGTCTATTTTGCGAAAAAGATATCTGATACGTTCCACGACTGCAAATGGACTAAATCACACATTCGAACTCCTAATGACGCAATGAACTGAGTTTCAAGCTTGGACCACTAGCGATTTGCGATGGGTCATCGGCCAGATAATAATCCTCACTACCCAACAAATGGTTTCTATTTGTGTCTTTGGCCTACAAATATCTCTCTCTCTCTCTACTCTGCTGCTCCCTTTGAACTCACTATTTCGTGCCGAAAATGGAACTTAAATGGTTTTTTCTGTATGGTGGCATTTCAGAATATATGATTTGTTTCAATTTATATTAGTTTTCATTTTCTTAAATCCATTGGTGTTTTTGCTAATGCTATTTCAGCAGCTAATGGGGGGAAAAAACACACTTTCATTGGAATATTGATTAGAGGAAACAATTGTGTTTATGTCAAGGATTGATTAAGGATTTGAGAGACTTGCTCAGAGATGATTGAGAAATGAGAATAGAGACAGAATAAATTATTTTGACACTTCCTCCAGTTTGATGTTGAACTCTATGAAAGCTATCATATAGAGATATTTTAGCAAAATTTTTGGGATTTTAGGCCACATCTGGAAAATACCATCTGCGTTTTTTTTATGGTGAACATGCTTTTCGTGAATCCTGATGGTCCTTTGTCCAATTCTTTTCAATATTGTTCTTGTTAATTTTGAATCTATTTCCAAAATTACAGTGCGTACAGTACAGGTACAACATTCGTCAATCATTTGATCTTAAATCTAGATGGAGCACAAGAGAATGGGTAGAAGTAAATCTTCTTAATAACATAATTATATAGAGAGAGAGCTTAATCTACTGTGTATTATTATTCTAATTCAATGAAGAATATCAATTAGTAATTCTATTATATTATCAATTAATTAAAATTTTTAACTCAATTTGAAATTTCAATTGGCAATTCTATTATATGATTACTTTATTATAGTCATTGTTCATCAAGTTAGAAAGAATATGGATTTTTTTTTTTTTTTTTTAGTTTTGTTATTTTGTAACAAAGGTCATTTTATTATAATTTTTGTAATTGGCTTTGCAGCATATATAGCAGCTATATTTTTTAATTTGATAGTAAAAATAATAAGATTTTTTTTTTTTTTTTTTGAGTTTTGTTATTTTGTACAAAGTCATTTTATTATAATTTTTTTGTAATTGCTTTGCAGACATATATAGCAGCTATATTTTTTAATTTGATAGTAAACTAATAATATTTTCAATAATGTCATAAAATCAAAAGAAAATTCAATTTTTTAACTAAATAATTAATCCTCACACCACTTATATTCTTTTATCAATTTAAAAATATCATGTATTTTCAAAATTTTTATTAATAGAGCTCATTTAATAAATAAGCACGATATAATAAATAAGCACGTTGAACTCTATAAATATATGCTTGAATTCAACCTAACAAGAAATGTATAATTTTTTTCATTGTATAAAAATAAAATAAAAAATCACATCAGAAAATAACAAAACCCAAAAAACAATTCAAGTTTAGAAAGCTTCAACCAGAAAATTCCCCGCAAAAACAATTTGGAGGGTAGCCACTAGCTACTAATAGCGGACCGCTATTTAGCCTCATTACGCACAAATCTACGCGGCACGCCGATTCCTACACACACACGTCAACCACCGCATGACCAACAAACCAACAGACCAGCGATTTTATCCCCTCCCGCACTCGACGCTAAACTAACGACCTCCGCTCCTTCAACGCCTAATCCAAAGGGAATAACATGATGATTTGGGAGGATTTTCCGCCGGACCAAACCCAAACCCAAGACCAAGAGCAAGACCGATACCAATACCAATACGAAGACTCGCATCTTAATTTCGATTTCCTTTCTCTAGTCTCCAAGCCGAAGGTGATACTTATAACATTTCCTTATCTATATCTTCGCTTTTTTGTGTAATTTTTGAGTTATGGATTTGTTAATTGCAAATGTAGGACTACTATAAAATACTGGAAGTGGAATATGATGCTAGCGATGACGCAATTCGCTCCAATTACATACGTCTGGCGCTGGTCTGTAGTTTTTCTTTTTTATACTTTTCTTTTACTTGAAGAATTTGGTTTTAGTAAATTTAGGGTTTTGTCATGGTTTAAGCTGTTTCTTGCAGAAATGGCATCCGGATAAGCAAAAAGGCCAGGATAGTGCCACTTCTAGATTTCAAGAGATAAACGAGGCTTACCAGGGTAAGTATCATTCTTCGTTTGCTTAGTTATTTCATTTTCTCGTAACTTAAATTTCAGCTTTGCTTTGGGTAAATAGAATTTTATTGTTGTTTTGACTTAATTTGGCATCTAGAATTATATTTGTGTTGTGCATATACACGTGGTTAGGCTGTGATGTAGAAATGGTGCATTTGCTGCATCCATTTATCATGTTGCATTTTCGTAATAATTAGCAAAAACTTGTAAGCTTTTGTTTATGGTTTTTCATCTTTACTAGGTAGACTTTGAAGCAGTGAGATACCTATTTTGTGCGAAAATTTGGAGGTTAGAGTGTTCTTTGGCAAAATTTTAAAGAGCAGAGTGGTTGTTTATGGTTCTATTGCTTGTGCTGGATAGTTTTCCTAAATTGCTTTTGTAGTTAGTTACACGTTTTAAGAGGGTTGAGGTGCAAGAGAAGGCATAAGAACGATGGAGCCAAAATCAATCTGAAAAACAAATGATCTGTTGGAGATTTGGATCTTCAAATGGTATACTATGAGTGTTGGCATCATAGGAAGTGAAACCCTTCTCTTTTGTCATGTTTTCTGCACGTTTTCCATGTGAAAGAATCAGTGACTACCATTTTGGCAATTGGGTGTTCTGGGTATTCCTTTAGACAGTAAGTTTAAAGGTAATTGTGTCAGTAAAAATTGTGAATTTCATTCTCCCAATATATTTGGAGTGATGTTCTTTTGTTATTGCTTTATTGTTTTGGTCTTTTGGAATGGAACTGGGCTGCCCCTCTTATAATAGAGATAGCTCTCCCTTTTCCTTTAAACATTCAGACGCAGGGGAAGAATTTAGGGCAAATTAACTCTCAACAATTAGGGCTAGAATAGGATGATTTTGGTTGGAACAATATAACATATGGGTTTCAAAGAAACCCTTAGAATTAAAATTCTGATTTCAAAGAAACCCTTAGAATTAAAATTCTGAATTCAATAGATAAAAAACAATACCTAAAACTAATTGCTGCTGTCCTATTTATATTAGTTAGGACAAATCCTAATTCTATGCTGAAAAATATTCCTAATTAGCTAATACTCCTAGACTGAATAGTATACTTATTTAACTAAATTCTAACTAAAGAAGTAAAACTGAAATTATTTCCTAATTAATTAACATTCTTTAATTTAATTAAGAATCCTAAACAAAGAAGGAAACTAAAAGAAAACTTCTTAATTAGTCTTGGATGCTCCTGCATCACATTCCTACCCAGCTAGGATTCAAACTTGAGACCCTTTTATCAAAACCTCAAGTCTCAACCATTAGGATGTCTCCTTTGTTATTACATCACTTGTTTACCTGATTTCAATATGTTCCATTTTACCTGGTTCCTTTTTTTTTTTTTGGAGAAATGGTTCTGGTTGTATGGACTATGAAGTTGGTGTTGTGATTCCAAAATGGCCTTTTAAATGAAGAAAGCGAGACCATACCTGGGAAAAAAGGTGGTTCTGGTTAACTTTTCATTCTTTTCACCCATCTTCATGTATCTCAATTTCAGAGAGGCATAGGCCTTTTTTTTTAAAAAAGCTTTTTATAGTCCTTTTCTTCTCCTATTTACGGTGCTTAGGCTCAGTCGATGTAGTCATGGACCAATTTTGAGTGACACTCCCATTCGATCATCTGTTGGTAAGATTTCAAATTGTTGAGAGTGGATCTTCAACCATTGGATAAGTGCTGAAAATGTGAGAATAGACAACCCAGTGGTCGTGGATATGTGGGGATATGGTATCCCATGTAATATCGCATTTGCGATGTCTCCATCAAGCTTTTCTAAGTTATTTCTTCTCCTCTTATGAACCCCATCCGTCTCCTTTTTTTTTTTTTTTTTTTTTGGGGGGGGGGGGGGGGGGGGGGGGGGGTGGGGGGGGAGGGGGTTGGCATAAAAGACACTTTCTCAATTAAAGATCTTCCTTGATAGTGGACTTAAATTCATACAAATAGAAGCAAACACGTGCATAATTTTCTTTCACTTTCGTGGTAAAGCACGTTGGGGGGAGGGGGTTGGCATAAAAGACACTTTCTCAATCTAAAGTCTGTCCTTGAGTATTTGGACTAATTCATACAATAATGAAGCAAACATCGTGCATAATTTTCTTTCACTTTCTGTAGGTAAAGCACGATTAGGTTTGCATTGTTAGGTGGTTTTGTTTATCCTGATAGGGTTCTAGGAATACGTAAGAATTTATGCTTTGTGTACATGCACTCGTAGTTTTATTGTTTTGAGATTTCATTAAGGTGATGATTCAGTCAAATGGCAAAGAGGAAGTCCTCTATCTGATAGAACAATATTCCCAGCTCAGAACTAGGTTTGATGGGCATCTTTCTGATTTTTCTATTAGACAAAACAAAAGGCTAAATGGAAAAGGAAGGATATCTGTGGTTTTAGGTACTTAGTTTATATGGTATGTCAGTATAACCTGCTCAACTCCTGAAGTCATCTATTTCTTTTGCTCCAATTGCTTAAATTGATGATGAAGGCTTTTGTCAGGGCAGCATAATAGGTATTTCAACAGAGAGAGATTCAATTACTTGTCAATCAATTTGAATGAAGTGATTTCCTTTTTCATTTGGTGCAAGGACTACATGGTCTGTAATGGTGAATTTAAGTTTCTCTGTAACCCATGTGGCTGGAACTAAACCTTTCTATAAATAGACACCTGTGATTATGTTTAATTGCTCTTTCTCCTCCTTGTTCGTTATTTTAGATATTATAATGAAAATCAGTGCCTCTTCATTGCTTCAAGTTGCATTTTTGTCCTTACCTGTTTTGTTTTGTTCTAATGATTTGAGTGCTGACATGGATTCCATGGCAAACTCATGTTTATAATGATGTTGAGGCCTTCCGCTTGGTTGAAAATGCTTGCCATTTGTTTCGCTAAATATTGGAATCATTGCTGAAGAAGAATGTAGACTATGCTATACGTCTACAACTTATCCTGCATACCTGCTTGACAATTAAATGTTGCTTCTCTGAACAGTTTTAAGTGATCCTGTCAGAAGGAGAGAATATGACACGAAAGGGATGACCCATGTCTATGATTATAACATAATTGTAAGACTCTTCCCTGTTTCTAGTCAAGCTACACTCTTTTTCGTTGTTTTATCAATAATGGCCCAAGTGTCCTTACATTTTCTTATATTGGCTGCAGGATTATCTTAATCGGTACAAGGGCCTGATATTAACATGCAATGGCCTTGGGATCAGGCATTCTGTCTGGTAACCTAAATAATCAGCTATGCATGTGCAGAGCTGCTGCAAGTTCTCCATACATTGTACCCAAGTAAATCCACGCTGAGTCTCCTTTCGCTGGCAGCACCTCGAGTTGCGAATAGCAGTACAGTCTAGTGCATATGTATATATGGCAGAAAATGATACTTAAGTTTAACACCTTATTCCTGCTGGTTCCTCCCTTGTAAGGGTTGTGATTTTGGTTTGGACAGTCGGGAGTGGTGATTTGTAGTTTTATTGGCAAACACCTGCAAGCAAGTGAATGTTTGATCTTCATGCAAATCTTTGAAAAAAAATTCTAAAAATATTAGTAATAACGAGTCTGCCTATAGATTGGGATAGAATTATATTTTCTCAACCCCACTCTGAGATGGAACCTGAAATTGATTGTGGAGAGAATTTAGATAATTAATTCATTTTAGTTGTCGGTATTCTCAGATGAGTTTGGTGATGTGTTGTTTATATCCATTATTTTGTGTTTTAAAGGCAAAAGTATAACTTAAGATCCAATTATATAATATGTATATACATACGTATATATATTTATTAGCAGTGGTTTACGGTAATGATTAAGATGGGAAAGAATCAAACAAGCAACCTTATCGCCAGCTGAGGTGCATGCATGTAAGGCCAGCTTAAAACAATTACAATTTGATGTTAAAAGAACTATTGATTTCCCCATCAACTGGTTTTAGTCTTACAAGGTTAAGAGAACAGAACATTGTATATTTAAAACAACATTCCATTTCATGAGCAAAGCTAGTGCGACATCTTAAATTTTGAATGCTAAGCCTCCGTTTTTGGGAAAAAAAATATTTTCATAAAAATTTGTAGAATTCATATAAATTTTGATTTTTTGTGTTTGGAATGAAAAAAATTGAAGATTTTGATTCTTCGAAATTAATTTTATGAAATTGAATATAAATAAATTAAATTATATCAAAATGAACAATATTTTCAAATGGATCATGTAACGAAATTGAATATAAAATTTATTTTTCAAAATTAATTTGATTAAACTCCGTTAAAAAATTAATTTGATTAAGTAAAAAAATTTTCTATTAATTTATTTGGGTTAAAAATTTTGTTCAAATTGTTGGAGTTGGCTGAATGATCCCCAACTAAGCATCGTTTGAATTTAAGTGGAAGCTATGTAGTCATCATTTTTTAATTTAAATTTCTTTAAGGTGGCATTTTAACTTGATTGAATTATGGATGTTATTAAAATTTTTTATTATTTGAAGGATTAATTGCTTTTTATAAAACGCAAACGCAATTCCCAAGACGTTCTAAAGAAGTCTAATTAGGTTCATCACCAACGAAAAGAGTAAATCACAATGATTATCTTCCTAAACAAGGTTCAATAATGACACTAAACGCGTTTCCGGTCAAAATTACCCACTCGCCCCTCCATACCCCAAGCAGCCGTCAAACATTAAAAAGATCCTCCTCACTCCCAACCAACCAAAACAACACAACATTGAAGCCACCGAACGCTAACACTACCTTTGCTCCTCTCTCTCTCTCTCGGAGACCAAACTCGAAAAACGGCCATGGCTGCTGCTACAGTTCCAGATAATCTAACCAGAGACCAGTATGTCTACCTGGCAAAGCTTGCCGAGCAAGCTGAACGCTACGAAGAGATGGTCCAGTTCATGCAAAAGCTCGTCCTCGGCTCTACTCCGTCTGGCGAACTCACTGTGGAGGAGCGTAACCTGCTCTCTGTCGCTTACAAGAACGTGATCGGCTCGCTTCGAGCGGCGTGGCGGATTGTGTCCTCAATCGAGCAGAAAGAGGAGGGGAGGAAGAATGAGGAGCACGTTGTCCTCGTCAAGGATTACAGATCCAAGGTAGAGAACGAGTTATCAGAGGTTTGCGCTAGTATATTAAGGTTATTGGACTCTCATCTGATACCATCGGCGACCGCTAGTGAATCGAAGGTCTTCTATTTGAAGATGAAAGGAGATTATCACAGGTACTTGGCTGAGTTCAAGGTTGGAGATGAGAGAAAGGCCGCTGCTGAGGATACTATGCTTGCTTACAAAGCCGCACAGGTATGTCGTGGTTTTTGCCGCCCTCATATTCGCTCTATTGAAATTTAGAAGCTATTGAGAGCTTGTCTGTATAATATTGAATAAAGATCGGAGCCGTCTGACATCTAGGGTTTTGAATGAGGGAATCGATTGGATTCAGAGTCTAGTAGTGTGAGTGACGGAATTTGGTTTTGAAGTTTAGGATTGACTTGGAAAAGTTGAATTGTAGACTTAAATCAAAAAAAAAAAAGTAGCAGAAAGAGAGTTGAATGCTGGAAGATTCTGTGGGAAGCTATAACTGTGTGATTCTGATTTGTTTCCTGATGTCTTCTCTTTTTTTTTTTTTTTTTTTTTTTTTTTCTCTTTTTTTTTTTTTTTTTTTTTTTTTTTTTTTTTTTTTTTTTTTTTTTTCTTCTCTTTTATTTTTTAAGGATATCGCACTCGCAGATCTTGCACCAACACATCCGATCAGATTAGGACTGGCACTGAACTTCTCTGTGTTCTACTACGAAATTCTCAATCAATCTGACAAGGCTTGTAGCATGGCTAAACAGGTAGAACTTTCTTTGTCCCTTTCACTTGTATTTAACCGTTAAAACATTCTTAGATATGCTTCAAGCTTCTCTTAGTCCAATCTTTCAATTGCTGTTGAGAAAAGCAGTGGATTCTTTACATTTTAATATCGTTCCAGCAGGATATTAAAGTGTGTAAATTGTTAATTGAGCTTTCCTATAAGAACTAGTCTCCCCATTATTATATTTCAAGTTGTTATATAAGCTATCATATATGCTTTTTATTGGTTAATTTTGAGTAATTGTTTTTTATGTCTGACTTTCTAGTTCAAGAATTCATTCAAAAATTAACCTGTGTTTCTAAAATCGAAAAAACGTGAAATTTGATTTCCTTTTCAATGAGTTCATTCTTTTTCTGTTTTATGATGTCTGATAATCTGTGGATACTTGTAGGAAATAATTTAATATAAGTAAAGCATTAATAATAATCACTTACATGTGCAAATAGATGCTCTCATGAATGAAGTTATATTGTAATTGCTAGAGCTTAATGACTGTGAATCAGGAAGACATAGGAACCTTTGTTGGCATGCCTGTCTTCTCTTGTGATTGTGAGTGATCGAATCAGAACCTAATTGTTTTTGTGTGCAACCATCTGGTAACAACAAGGGTTTCATAAGTGGAAATTCACAAATAGATTGAGTGCTGAGGGATGAGTCATTTATGGGCTTTAACAATTGTTTCACAGAATTTTGCACTTTTCCTGCTTTCCCATATATGTATGCAAGAGGCTGGCAGAAAATTGCATTCTTTTTGTGCACGATTACATGCTAAAAATGAGAATTCCATTGCATTATCCTTGTTACCTTTCTGTGTAGGCATTCGAGGAAGCAATTGCTGAGCTAGACACTTTGGGAGAGGAATCATACAAGGATAGCACTCTAATCATGCAACTCCTTCGGGATAACCTCACTCTTTGGACTTCAGATGTCCAGGTACTCTCTCTCTCTCTCTCTCTCTCTCTCTCTCTATATATATATATATATATATATCACTTGTCAATGATATCTTTGTTGGGAGCGTTATAGTGGCCATATATTAATTGCTGTAATACCTGATATGTCTTTACCTAACTCGTACAATATTTGATTTTCTGACAGGACCAGTTAGATGAGTCATAAAAGGCATCATAAGCTTGGTCGGTCCTAGTCTTCTTTTGGAGGAGGTGGGCTTTGAATGTCATCCATTTGTCCTGATTAAAAGTGTGTTTAACATGACACTATGGTTTATATTTGGACTGAACTTCATTTAGATTTGAAGTTATTTTGGAAAGAGTAGCATTTGTTGTGAGTTAAAATGTCCTTTTGTTTGATTGCATGTTTGTCAGTGTTGTTCTATGGCATTATATTCTCGATAATTTATATCACCCCAAAATTAAATTCACGATGATATTTAGCCTTAGATAGGATAAAGCTAAGTCGAGTGGAAAGGATACGAAGAGGGCATGGAGTAAATTTCACCGTCCTGTGTAATAGCATTACAAACTCGCCAAAGTAATCAAGTCATAGATATCTCTTGACAGTAACATGAGCTTTTCTTCAAAAAAAGACAAGAACCACTGTCTTCCCTTCTTTTATTTGTTTCAATTTGAGGGGAGGAAATTCATATCTGAATTCAGACCAATTCCTACCAGATTTGACATCACCACAGCTACAATCCACTTCAATGCTCTAATCCGTGTCATTCTTCCCTGTCACTTCAGACAACCAATAAAATTCTCTCCGCCAATAATCGTTATCATTTCTGGATGATGTAGCATTGAAAATAACCCAAGAAAAAACAAAAGAAACGAAAATACATGTATCTGACTGCAATCATGTCACGACCCGATTCCATGGGCCGGACCGGCACTAGGGCCCAGGTAAGCTTAAGGCCCCCGAGGCCCGTAGTCAGCCTGAAACACTAGAATAATCAATTGTCACGACCCCGATTCCCATGGGGGCCGGACGCGGCACTAAGGGCCCAGGTAAGCTTAAGGCCCCCGAAGGCCGTAGTCAAAGCCTGAAACACTAGAATCCCAAATATCTCGGTAAAATAAATTTCAACATTTCAGCCCATAATGATTATGAACAATAAAACCTCCAATATTTTATTAATTTCTCGGCCCAAGTTTAATCTCCTATAGCATTCTAAAAGTTCCGGGCCCAAATTTACAATACATCACATTCTTAAATATGGAACTTACAGGATTATTTGGTCTATGTTAATACACCCAACTAATATAATATGTAAATTTTTTATCACTGCGGAGTCACTAACCTGTTTGGTATTAACATGGCTTTTTTATACACATAATTACAATTAGTAAAATAATTATGGCACTATAAAAAATTTTCTCTATTGCCGGCCTCCGAAGACACATAGCCTAAAATCGGATTAAAAGGAAAAAACTTACTTCCTGAAAATTTCAAATAAGACATGTGAAGTTTTCTAAGGAGTAATAATTATTGCATACAACACACGCAGTCACACAAATTTATGTAAACATTTCAAATCTAGTTCCATTCGACTTAGTTATATTGCTCAAACGCAGCCAGTCACACAAAATGCACAATACCTAGCACTCACACGTAATGTCACCTTCAAGTAATCAAGCAAAAGTGGTAATTAGTCAGTGGCCCACCTGAAACCCCAACGAGCCGTCCTCAACACATGGCTCGCCCTCCATCGTACATGTGCGCACCAGGGAGCCGATCCCCCATAACGGCCAACTGGTCTAATCCTCACTTGACCAGTCCTCTCAATTGTTTTTCTACTCTCTCTCGTTTCTTTTCCATATCAACAGGAGCAACCCGGTGGTCTCCATCCAAGTCTAGATCAATCAAGTGCCTCACAACAGGAGGCCCCACTTGCGGGCTAACAATCAAATCTAGATTAATCAGGTGCGGCAACCAACAAGTAGCCATCCTGTAAATCCGCCATAAAATAAATCTATATCATCAGGTGCACAAGGGGGGCCGACTCCCATTTTCCCCGGCCGAAGGTCAAGTATCATATCGTATTCAGGATCCCATATCACAGACTTCAGTCCTCACAAACCATGGTGGTCCACTTCATTCCCAATTCCAACACAAACAAAAGCACAGCAATTTTTCACACAACAATTAATCAAACCATTGCAATCAAAAATGCAGACATATTGGATCAGTTGGACATTCATTTCTCAAATGCAATAAATAGCTTTAAATAATTACCATTAACAAACAAACAACAACAATAAACATCAATGATAAGAATAAACAGTAAACAATGAAAATAATTAAAAAATACTTAAATAATTAAATGAATAATAAGGAAAATAAATAAAATAAATTAGAGCACTGGACTGTTTATTATGGCATTAGGTTATAGAATGAATCTAAATACTTTTTAAAATTATGTTATTAATTAAAACTAAGTTCAAGTTCTAACGAAATTTCGGCAAGCAACCTGCCTATAATTTGGCACTATCCACACCTGTTTTAGATAAACACAGTATTATTAATATATTTATCAATCAAAGTAACACACAGCCCATCCATTCGGGCAATCAATCAATTTAAGACCCCATCCTCCTCCCAAACCACGATATCAACGCTTCAACCCATTAGTTCACAACAATTATGTTCAATGATAATGAACAAAATCATTATTTACATCATATAATTAATAAACTTAGCTAGTATAGCTTAATTACCAAAACAAATGAAAGCTTTAATACATACATAATCAAATAAAACTTAATATCAGTAAGTAATAAATAAATAATTAGAGCACTCTATTTATTATGCATTAGGTTATAGAATTAATCTAAATAAACTTTTTAATTATGTTATTAATTAAAATTAGTTTAAGTTCTAACGAAATTTCGGCAGTAACTCCCCTATAATTTGAATTATCCACCGTTAGATAACACAGTATTATAATTTAATGAATACATTTACTAAATAACTCGACTCGCCCTTATGTATATAGATATATATATATATATATATCAATTCTTATAACTAGTTTATCTAAATGTTCGCAATTATTCAGAATAGTTGTTGTTCATCAAAATAGGTCATTCTCAACCTAGCTCATATATGATGTATGAATCAATTCATTCAAATTTTCAATTTAATTGACTAATGATTACTAAGTTTAGAATTTAGACCAAAAATAGGAAATTGGTCTTAGAACGTACCAATTGAAATTGAGCGACGATTCCAAAATAGGAAATTGGTCTTAGAACGTACCAATTGAAATTTGAGCGACGATTCCACGATCCTCGCGAAGAGAGGAACATTCTGTCCCTGGCACCTCGCCAGACCGCCGCCGCCGCCGCCGTCCACGGTGGCCGAAAAAGTTGGGGCCACCCAGAATTGACCCTTCTTCACGCCACCCCACTCAAATTTCATCGAGGAGTCCGTTTTTGATGTTGGTTGTGCGAGGTTGGCCCTCCATTTGGCTGAATTAGTCCCGACAGTAGCTTGGTGCCGCCATTAATGGTGTTTTCACTATTTCAAGCGTTGTAGCCGGAATTAATGGAGGAGAAACACTCACAAGGTGGAGGTGACTCGATCGACGCCTGCCTTTTGTGTTGACGTCGCCGGAATTGTCGATCTGTCCGGAGATCGAAGAAAGGAGAATTGTCGATGGAGACAGTCCGCTTCGCGTCACTGGAAGACTCTGCTTCGCGTCACTGGAGGCTCTGTTAGTGTGGAAGGAGGTCGGAAAATGGACAAGGAGCTCTAGCGGAGACGATCGCCATCTCGCTCTCGTCGAGCGGTGGCCAGAAACGGAGGGAGAGGGTGGAGGGAGGCTGTCGCGTGACTGAAGAAGGAGAAGAGAAAGAAAGAAAAAAAAAGAAAGAAGAAAGGCGGTTTCTAGCAAACTCTAGGCCATTCCGGTTTGATTCAAACTGATTTGGTCCGATTTAGTGATTTGGTCTCATTTCATTTGATTTTCAAGTTTTTCACTCGATTTTCGGATTATTCGTGTGGTTCTCGACAAATTAAACCGATTTTCGGGTCTGGTTCAATTTATTTTAACTGTTCAGTTCAGTTTCATAATATTTTCTCCATTTACTCAATAATTATAAAATTATTTATAGAACAATATTTGATTTTAGGATAATTAATTTATATATATTCATAATAGGTTAAATTACGGGATTTCGTATTATTTCTCAAAAATTTTAGCTGTTTACGATTCAAAATTTCTTTTCGACATTTTATTTGGGCTTGGGCCCAACTCGTAAAATTTTGGGCTCAAATTAGAATTGCTCGATCCTACTTGAGATTGTTTTGGTATATATTATAGCCCATTAGTTGAAAAATCGAGATTTTTTGATTTATTAAAAATTCGAAAGTTTTCAAAAAATAAAAAATTCGGGGTGTCCCTCAAAATCTCCCCCCCTTTAAGAACAATTCGTTCCTCGAATTGAAATTTTAGCAGGAGAAGAGTAAGAGTGAATACATAGGGAATTCAAAGTCAATAAGAAAATTACTTCCATCACTAAGGAGATAGCTTTCAAAGAGTGGATAATAATGAACCCGATGAAAGAAAAAGAGTCAGGTATTCTAATTGTAAGAGTCAGGTATTCTAATTGTAATTCTATCGCCAATCATCCTATTTAGTATCTCCTAGCTAAAGCTTACAAGAACTTGAGTTCATTACCTAAATCTCCACTTACTATTTTCAGACAGCTACTGAAATCTTTAGAAAATCTTTCTTTAAATAAAACTTTTACAATAAAACCGGATTTATCAAGAAGATGCATAATATATGTCATCTATGTTTCTTAAAGTTATATAATTTCTTTTGAAAATTTAAATTTTCACTAAGCATTCCTTTATGAAAACCGAACATATAGTTTAGAATTACAAAACGGCTGAAATTTAATTTACTTATAATAATAAGATTTAATTCGTTTAATTTACATATATTATTACTAAAACCTTTCTTTAATCAAAATCAGAAACCACTACTTTAATCCATAACTTTTTTTTTTAAAAAAAAATCGTCTTGTAACTTTCATTGTCTATTAATATCACAAGGCGTCTTGGGCTCACTCTCTTGATTCTACCTATATATGTCTTGTTTTCCCTATAATATTCTTATTATAGATGGGTGTAATTATTAGATAGCTCCTGATCTAATGACCTCATTGTACCACTCTAGTTATCATGCCTCTACAAAGATTTTTATTTTTATTTTTATAATTTTAATGCTTTTAATTTAACTATCAATTTCGCTTTAACTCAATCTCTCAAGTTACCCTAAAAAAAAACTTATCAATAAGATTGATTTTCGTAATAACACCTTTTGCTAATTTACATTCCAGCTATGTTGCTTATCAGTCCACTATGAAGATGTTAGAGTACTCTTATTACT